GATCTTAACAGGGGGGGATTTAACATCCCCAAACCTCTTAGTCCAAACAAGGATTCATTTCTCACCAGGAAAGTGACCTTCTTAAGACCCTGGCGAGAAATGGCCACAGCGGTGAATCCTGCCCACTTTGTACCCTGTGCAGACCTGGCCGCTTCCCACCCAGCCCAGAAGCGATCCAGGAGCTGCAACGTCATAAAGGAGACGTCGAACTCCCGGGTGCCCGAGGCATGGATGAGCGCGTACAGGTCCACGGGCGCAAATCCCATATCCTTTAGCCGGGTCACCAGCCACCGTCTGTCAGGCACCTGGGTCTCACCCCCACAGATGAGCCGTACCACGTTCCTCCTGTTCCCAAAGGAAACCTGAGGACGCGTAGCAGGCCCGTCTGCAGAGAGGCGAGGTGGCCCAGATGCCCAAGCATTGGGCGCACCGGGACCCGCCGCCTGGGAATGATTCGGACGGACTCCCCTCGCTGAACCAGAGGCCTCGGTCACACCAGAACCCTGGGTGACACCTGGGAGTGCCTAAGGGGAACCCGTGTACCTGCTTGTGCGTCTAAACTATTTATAACCGCGGCACCCTTTGTCAGGGTGCCTGTGCCCGTGCTCGTGCCCGCCACCTGTGTACCAACTAACTCCAGTGAGCCAGGGGCAGGGGCAACATAACCTGAGGCGGGGGCAACATAACCAGGGGCAGGGGAAACAGTACCAGGGGCAGGGGCAATAGTACCGGGGGCGGGGGCAACATAACCAGAGGCAGGGGCAACAACACCAGGGGCAGGGGCAACAACACCAGGGGCAATAGTACCGGGGGCAGGGGCAACAACACCAGGGGCAGGGGCAACAACACCAGGGGCAGGGGTAACAACACCAGGGGCAGGGGTAACAACACCAGGGGCAGGGGCAACAACACCCGGGGCAGGGGCAACAACACCAGGGGCAGGGGCAACAACACCAGGGGCAGGGGCAACATCATTAATACAAACAGGCTGGCTGTGGACCTTTTTACTAAGGCCAATAAGTCCCATCATTACATTTACAGTTACATCCATACTCCCATCCTCCTCAGCCATCCCTAAACCACCAGTGGAGTCAAACACAATGTTAGTCATACTTTTCTTACCTCCACTGGCGGTTTCCTCAGTATGGACTGCTGGCTGAGGATGATGGGAGTCCCCTGCAGTCCTGTCTTCCATAGCGCCAGCGGCACCCGCGGCACCCGGAAGGAACAACAGGAACAACAGGGGGACTGGTTACACATGCAGACATAAGGGGAACACATAGGGAAGCAGGGGGAACAGACTGGAAGACAAACTTGGACACATCCAGGGAAACAGACTGGGGGACAAACAGGGGAGGAGACTTGCTGGTAGGGGAGAGCAGTCGAGCTTGCTCCAAGGGAGCAGAGGGAAAAGGAGGGCCATCACCCTGCTCCAGACTGCTCCATCCAGTGCCATCCTGCCCAGCAGCCGCCTGAGGACAGGAGGCAGAGGTACCAGCCACTCCAGGGGACGCAACCACACGGAGAGGAAGGTCAGAGGGAAGGCAGGTAAGGGAGGGAGTGGGAAGGGAGCAAGGGAAGGACCCCTCCATGGGATCACCGGTACACGCCATAGTACCGGCGGGGATGGTCTCCCTGTCACCATGGAGGGCGGCGGGGGGCCCAGATACTTCCACAGAGGCAGGTTGTGCAGGTTTCTGGGGCATACAGGTGTTGCCACCTGCAGGGTTAGTATCCCTGGCCCCAGGCTTCTGCAAGGCCTGAACATCATCATTGTACATATACTCAGCATTTGAGCACTCACCCTCCTCTGTGGAATCTCCAGACCCCCTGACAGAGGTCTCAGGCTGACGCCGGGCGATGTTTTTCTTTTTCTTCTTTTTCTTCTTTTTGTCCTTTACGGAGTCCTCCCCAAGTTCGTTTCCAAACTTGAGGAGAGACTCCTTAATCAGCCCTCGACCTCTGTCCTGCACTTTCAGCTGCCACTCTTCACCTTTCTCTCCGTCCCACTCCTCTTCACTGTCCTTCTCTCTGGCCTTCCCCTCCGTCTCAGCAGCGCCCCCTGGAGTAGCAAGGGCAGAGGTAGACGGCTCCCCAGGTGAGTGATGGGAGTTGGAATCCAAGTCCTTGCTGGACTCCTCACCTGGGGACATGTCCCTCCTGCCCTCCATAGCCCTCTGCCTCCTGGACCTCGCAGCGTCCTTGGCTCTCTGTTGCAGGATGGCCTGGATGTCTGCTATTTTCTTTTCAGTCTGGAGCAGGGTGTAGGATAGATGCTGCTCCACTAATTTTTTCTCAGCTATAGCGGCCCTCAAAGGACCTCTTTTGTAATTAGAGGTCCTGTTTGATTTTTCCCTCTGCTCCCTTAGCTCTGCCTGGACCCCAGCTAGGCCCGAGTCTGCCTCGGCATGCTGGGCCTTCAGGGACACAGAGCCTGTCAGAAGGTAGCCCCATAAAGACCCTAGCTGTAAGAATATTAAATAGTTAACTTGTTTATATGTATTTTATGCTTTTATAAGGTTTATAACATGATTATTGCTGACTGAAGGAATATTGAATACTTAAAAGTCAATGTACGACATAATATGCTGACTGTGACAGACTAAGGAATTTCTTCTATAGGATGTAAGACAATGCTAAATTTCAGGATGTCTTGCCCATTCCGATTTTAAGGATATTCTTTTCCAGACGTATGCAAAAGCTTATCTTTCCATTGTCAGAATAACCTAATATAAGGAAGTAATAAATCTTATAGTCTGTACTGTAATGAATGGCATATACCATGGCTAATGTAAGCAAACTATGTATAAAAGCCAGCTCTGGAATACACTCATTTGAGAGTCTTGTAAAGCTGTTGTCCGTGTGTTATTGCTTACAAATGACTCTCCATCAACGTTGATTATGGTGACCGAGGGATCGAGAACCGAGGGGATTAGAGTCCATTACAACATTAACCCTTTCAGCTTGGTGTCAGAAGTGGGATAGAAGTTGGATCAGCAAAACCATTTGCGGTGAGTAGCCTTTTTGTGTCTTATTTGACGCTGATTGTCTATGACCCCCTTTGGTTCAGTAAGTCTGTATCCAGTAGATAGGAAAGGTGTAAGGACTCTAGTTATATTGAGACTATAAGAGGTTTCCGGTTTATTAAACATTTGGTCTAAATATATATAGGGGTTCTTGGTAACCCAGGTTAGTATCTAAGATAGATACAGGTTTTTGAGACCAAAAGAGGTCTCCGGTTTATTATAGGGTTTTGGTAACCCAGGTTAGTATCTAAGATAGATACAGGGTATCTCAGGTAGATACAGGTTTTTGAGACCATAAGAGGTCTCCGGTTTATTAAGTCTATAGGTGTTCTGAGCAGCATGGTTTGTAGATCTTTAAGTATAACCCAAACTTCTCTTTCTCCCGGTCACCTTTGTTTGTCTTAAGTGTTTTTTGTGGGTGATTGATTGTCTATATTGGGGACACACTTTGGTAAGTTAGTAGTGTCCCCACTCTGAATCAGCAGTATGGGAAATGTGAGTTCAGGTCCTGAGTGACCAATATATGTATGTATATGTGTGTGTATGTATATATGTGTATATGTATGTATATATGTGTGTGTATATGTATATGTGTATATATAAGATAGCAGTACTTTTAAACAAATGGAGGTTTTAAAAATACATAGGGATTAAGGAGAGAACGCAGGTAACTTGTTTTTCTTTGGTTTTTACCATATATTGGGGCTGATGTGTACTGTAGTCCTTGCTGCTGCCCAGTAGTGATGGGAGTGAGCGCAGGACTTATCTTTCTGCAAGATAGCAGTACTGTATATTAGAAAAGAAATGACTCACAGGTTGTACCTGATAGACCTACTTAAATCTTTTTGCTTTATTCTTTCTGTCGCATAGAAGTATAAGTTTATTACTCTGTTTTATTGTAAGTTATTTCACATGGGATCTGTGTGCCTGGTATGATTGTTGCTTTAAAAATACTATAAGCCCACTACACTTATTATGAGAGTGGGATAGTGTAAATGTGTTGCATTGTTTGCATGATGAGCTCAGTATATTTTATAACTGAGACAAAAAGTCACTTCATTAGTATTTGAAAGTTAATTCCCCATATGGGATTAATTGTATAGAAACACCAATCAGCACATCTTCCCTGCCCTGTGTGTTTGTTGCAAAGGATCCATACTGTAAATATGATTTTTGTTTGAAAATAACAGAGCAACATTTACATTTTCAGCGGTCCAACACATGCTTTATTTTGCACTGTAAACTAACCTTTTTATTGCAACAGGTTCCTTTTAAATGATCCAGTGTAATAACTACTGCTTGTGTCTTCTATGTCTCACATTATGTGTTATTTTAAATTGTGGTATATAGCCTGAATCAGAAATCATGGACAAAGGTTTTTACCTGTGTTACTAAGGGCTCTTGGAGACTGACCGGTCTAAAGGTTTGCCATGCCTTTAAAACATGGTATAGTATAAATTTTTAAGTCTCTGAGAGTTCTGAAAGATTCAGGTGAAACCATGTCTGTTTAATCTGGTCCAGATGTTTGTTCAATTTCTGTAAGATTTAAGTTGATGCAGCATCATCTCAGATTAGTTAATGGTAGTTTTATACAAATAGTTGAGTTATGAGCGCGCTATATAAATGGATCCTTTCTTTAAATACAATACTATAGTAGATTAAAGTAATGAAGTTAATTAAGAAAAGTATACATAAGAATCCCTAAAATAAATCTAAACTAAAATTGGTATACCTTCCAATAATATGTTCTGAATACAGCTGTTAACTGTTTATTTTGTGTAAATGGTGATTGTGATAATGTGTGAAGTGTGCAGTTTAACTTGAAAGTGGTTTAATTTATATGTTGCTGTATTGTTTTAAATTATATGTGAATCAGTTTGTCACAGTCTAGTGATACTGATAAGAATGACAGCCAAATAACCTAGCAAATAACTGTTTTATTAGTTGTTGAATACTAGCGTTTTGGCCAAGAATAGTTGGAGATTTGGAGGTGTTAGTTTAAGATTGCTTTTATATTGTGTCTATCCGTGTTTCCTAGGAGGGAGACAGAGTGTGTAGTTGTGTGCCCATAAATGTGATTTCTGTATTGGCATATCTGCTGGGTACCCATTATGTGTTTCTACAAAGATATTGTTTTGTGAGATGACGTGTAATATTACATGGGATGCTGAGTATGAGTTATATGGTTTGAAATGAATTGGTGATTATGAGCTTAGTACTTCAGTAAGATGTGCTAAAATTTGGAACAAGGTGGAAGCTGAAATGTTGGGATTATGGAAGAATAAGCAGTCTATATTCACTGCTTTGGCATATAAGCAAGATGCAAAGGAAGAGATTGGTAATATGATTTTTGTAAAGAAATTTTACAAGTGTTGGAAGGATGAGGCAGGTTTGATGTCTGGAGATGATATAGATCTCTTTAAAATACAGTCATGCCTTGGTAATATGTTGCCACAGTATTCTTTGCTTGTGAAACAATTGATTTCAGACTGGGCCAATTTGGATAGCTCAGATTTTCTTACCAAGGTTATAGAAAAGGAAAATGCAGGTTGTTTTGAATTAAGAAAAGATTTAGGAAAGTAAGGTTGCTTATTATGCTCAGGGATTGCAACATATTATGTCCAGCTACACAGGATGAGAGCAAGGATGGGATGGAGCACATAAAGCCCGTGGAAGGGGTGGTCAAAGAGGGGCAAGGGGATGGAGACAGGAAATCAGGGTTATAGGGGCAGGGGTAACCAAGGAGGAATAGACAGGAACACTTGTTTCAACTGTGGCCAATATGGCCACTGGAGGAATGAGTGTCCACACCCCAGGAAACCCCAGGAAACCCCACACACCCCAACAACCCCACAATTCTCAAAATATGCCCTGTAGGCAAGAACAACACCAGACCCACTCCCAACACCACTGGCCAGCATATCGCTTAGTTCAGGACTTTAGAGCCCTGAATAGTTTAATTGTGCCCATTTCACCCATTGTCCCTGACGTGACATCCCTCATTACAGCCATTCCACATGATGCCACTTGCTTCACTGTCATTGATTTAAGTAATGCATTTTTTCTATACCTATTGATCAAGAGACACAGCTACTTATGGTTTTTACTTTTTGAAGGCTGTCAGTTTACCTGGACACGCTTACCCCAAGGCTATGTGGACTCCCCAGCTGTTTATTCGCTGGTACTCCAACATACTCTAAAAACATGGACCCCCGGTCATGGTTCCGTCCTTTTGCAATATGTTGATGATTTTTTGTTATGTAGCCCTAGCTATGAGGCAAGCACTGTGGATACTGTCAGTTTGCTCAGACACTTAGCAACTGTGGGTCACAAGGTTGTTAAACACAAAATGCAATTGTGTAAATCAAAGGTTGAATACTTAGGTTTTGTTCTGGCTTTAGGCACCAGACAATTGAGTCCAAAACGTATTGAGGTCATTCAGAGGATTCCTACACCCACTACTCGGAAGGAGTTGCTCACCTTCCTCGGCATGATTAATTACTGCCGCCAATGGATCCCTGAATGCTCCCATTATGACTCAATCCTAAGGGAGGCTGTACGTTCTGACAGCCCTGAAAATGTCTGCTGGTCACCAGACATGCTATCTGCATATATTGCCCTTACAGTTGTTATTGTGCAAGCCCAGGCTTTAGGACTACCTGTGTATTGTAAACCATTTCATTTGTATGCTTGGGACAATTGTAAAACCATGGCCGCGGTCTGTGCACAAGAGCAAGGAGGCGGTATGCGTCCCATAGCATTCTTTTCCAAAGTAGTTCGAGCTCCGGTACAGGGTATGCCGGCGTGTCTCAGAGCATTGATAGCATGTGCAATGGCTGTTGAAACTGCTACTACTATCACACTAGGGCATCATACAATACTTCATGCCAGTCACCAGGTCACTCAGCTGACAAATCTCACCACACAACACATGAGAGCCCAGCACTTAAGTGGTTATGAGATTCTTTTTTTTTAATACCCAGAATCTGTCTTTTGGATTAAACAAGGTTTAGAGAAAGATCAAAATGATCTGTTCTCTAAAGAGGGGAGAATAGGCATACTTGAAGAATAGGCATACTTGAAGCAAGCTGATTTATTTTCATCAGTCAGGCACATAGCAAGCACCATTCAATTCTTCATGAATTCATTTTATATTAGGAATCTCAGGCAGCATGTACAGTCTTTTGTAAGATCGTGTGAACGCTGCTCTTTTTACACACTTACAGATTGATTTTATTCATGTATCCAAAATTGGTAAGAAACAGCAATACTTACTGGTCATAGTTGATCAGTTTAGTAGATGGCATGAGGCCTTTGTGACATCTAGGGAAGATGCTAGTGAAGATTATTGTTACTGAAATTATTCCCCGGTATTGCTGCCCTCTGCAGATTGGCTCTGATAATGGCCCGGTTTTTGCAAGTGGGGTTGCCCAGGAACTTGCTAAATTCTTGCAAATTACCTGGCAGTTTCATATACCCTATCATCCACAGAATACAGGGGTAGTTGAAAGGATGAATAGGACTATTAAGGAAAAGCCCAGAATTTACCCAGGAACATGGGTAAATTGGACAAGATATCTACCAGCTATTTTAGCTGAGATAAGAATGAATCCCCACAAGGTGAATTGTTGATAAAACTGAATGGTATGTATGACAATGTTTCTTCGCAGTTTTCCCTTACCTTCACAGGAACCTACTCATTCATACCAGCCCGGTGACAAGGTGTATATCCGTCAGTTGAACAGGACCAAGAAAGGAGGATACCCTTTTGGACCACCTGCTACTGTGATTGCTGTACCCAGAACCGCTGTCCACAGATTCCCACGACATCTGGATTCACGCATCCCGAGTGAAGCTGTGTCCAAAGAGGGGAACCAAGGAAGACAACACCACTCCTCGCTCGGAAACAGAAGAATTTCTCCTCAGCGAAGCATCATGGCTTTTACACCATATCGTAGATTGAGAGGATCATACGTACCTGAGACCAAGATTATGTTGTGCGCTATGCTTTCTGGAGTTGTTATACTCCCTCTGATATTGTTCCTTGAATGCCATTATGAGTACAAGTCAATGGCAAGTTTGAAACCTGTTTGTTTCTGGAAAAAGACTCTGACATGATGAACAATTCTTCAATACCCCCAGCCCAATTAGGCCTTAGCCCCTCATCTAGCATTCGTCACACACGCCCCCTCAAGAACCTTTCTCCACCACCTTTCTATCAGCATGCAATATGCAATCATTCATTCACTGAACGCATTTGGATGAATTGGACAAATAGTAACCCTTATAAGTACCAGTTACCCATATGAAATGTGTCTACAGCTAATGAAACCGATGCATTATGTTTGTTTAAAGGTTCACAGAAAATTGTTAGATCTTATAACGCAGAAATGTGCACAGTTAAGGTTGCATATCAATGTAAACAGACAGGCCTTATTACTTTTAATAATGATTATATAACTGGTATCATTAATTGGAGAAGGGGACAAATGTTAGTCATTATGAACGACACTACAATTGAGAACTATACACTACCTTATATTTTTACACCTTATTACTGTCCTTTATCCTCTACCATAGAACCAAAAGTCAACCACGACACACACACACCTATTCCGTCCACATGTGTTAATACAACTGCCTTCTTACAAGCTGTACATGTGTCATTAAAAATCACTACTCCTGTTGTAACATTATGTAACACAACAAACAAAAGGCAGAAAAGGGAATGGTATGACACACTGTTAGGAGGTGCTGGAACCACTATGGGTATACTAAATAGTTATAGATATGGAGACCCTCAAGAATAAGTTAAACACAGCCAGCATGCATATAGGGACTGGTTTTCATGCTACTGCAAATTGGGCTCCAATTGTTGTTAAATCACAGGTTATAGGATTGGATTTAGATAAATCAATGTATAATTATTTAGATAATTTAACTGTTGCAACTATGAAATTCACTACAGATCTAAGTAACTGGAATACTTGTGCCATCAGGTATTTATGGATACAACAACAAGGATTGGCATTAGAAAACACACTAATGATTCCTAAACTAGAGAAGATTAGAGGAAAGCGTAACCTCACAGATAATGAATGGTTACTTCTAAAACCCCAATCCAGTAAATGCAATGGATGGTTAACTGGTAATGTTTCACATTTTTCATGCTCATGCTATTTTACATTATATCATACAACATCAAAGGATGTTAAATTAGCTTGTCAATTTAACACATTACCAGTACCAGTTTATGATCTTTTTGCCAAGAATTTAACCTGGTGGGCACCCACATACACAGGGGACTATATTTTTCCCAAAGATAACATACACAGGTAGCCACACATATCCTAAAAGGAGAACTCCTTAAGGTGAGTTCACAAATTCAGAATGATTCAGCCCATAATTGGTACAATGCTTCACTGGTTGGTCCCCTACTGGATCTCAGATAATGAAATCATTCTTCTATCATTTTGTTATTATAGTCCTGATTTTATTGTGTATGATTTTATATAACTGTCACCTTAGTTGTACATTGAGGAAGAGAGTACAGAAATGAATCCATAATGCAGAACAGAAACAATTAGAAATTCTCCTCTCTGCCACTGTAGAGTATCAACCCATCTTTAAACTGGGCCTTAGGAATTACCACATGGGAATCGAGGTGAAGAAATTAATGAAAGTCCCGCAGGGAGTGACTAGCACCCCTGAAAATACCATGTGGAAGTTTCTCTGTCCTGGTAAGATTTTATCGATAAGATGAGCAATTGTTTTATTGCTCAAAGAGGGGAATGTAAGAATATTAAATAGTTAACTTGTTTATATGTATTTTATGCTTTTATAAGGTTTATAACATGATTATTGCTGACTGAAGGAATATTGAATACTTAAAAGTCAATGTACGACATAATATGCTGACTGTGACAGACTAAGGTATTTCTTCTATAGGATGTAAGACAATGCTAAATTTCAGGATGTCTTGCCCATTCCGATTTTAAGGATATTCTTTTCCAGACGTATGCAAAAGCTTATCTTTCCATTGTCAGAATAACGTAATACAAGGAAGTAATAAATCTTATAGTCTGTACTGTATTTGCATATACCATGGCTAATGTAAGCAAACTATGTATAAAAGCCAGCTCTGGAATACACTCATTTGAGAGTCTTGTAAAGCTGTTGTCCGTGTGTTATTGCTTACAAATGACTCTCCATCAACGTTGATTATGGTGACCGAGGGATCGAGAACCGAGGGGATTAGAGTCCATTACAACATTAACCCTTTCACTAGCCTCAACTCCTTCACCCTTTGCAGCCTCAGCATAGGTGAGGGAGGCCTGAGGGGCCTTGCTGGCACTAGCCACCTCAGGGGGGGTCTCAGGGACTACCTCCTCCTCGGTACCCTCTCCCACCTCCAGGGACGGGGGGGGCTGTTCTAGGAAGTGGAGGCCACTGCTGGCAAGTTCACGGCACTCAGCCAGCAGCCCAGAGAGCAGCTGGATATCGGCCCTGGTGTGGGCCGTAGCTCCCTGGGGGACCCCCACTTCCCTTTTCCATGCTGTAAGCTTCCTAGACATCCCCCCCGCCAGTTCCTCCAACAGGGAGACCTGGTTTCGTATTTGCCGGGAGAGGGCCTGATGCTCAGTCCAAGACAGGCCCCTGGTATCCGCCTTACCTTCCCCAAAAGCCAGCACTGCCTGCAGCTCGTCCAGCCTGACCTTCCATCCCCAGGCTGGGGAGGAAGGCCCGAGGGCCATGCTTGCCTAGGCCCTTGCTGTAGTAATTCCAAAGCCCAGAAATCGAGCTCCAAAGCAGCCACAAACGGGTGTGGTCCTGGGAACACACAGATGAAGCACAGAGCAGCTCCCTCTCCAGCAGCAACGGCAAACTCCTCCCACTCCAGTGGGAGGGGAGACTGTAAGCCCCACACCTGTGCAGATGGGACCGTGGTCCCTGCACGTCCAGCACAGGGGGTAGGGATGGTCGGTTCTGCCCCCCAGCAACAGGACTGTTTAGCCAAAGTGGAGAAAGTCGGTCTCCAGCAGCAGAGCTGTGTAACCAAAGGGGAGACAGTCGGTCTCCCCCTCCAACAACCAGGCTACCCTCCCAGTAGCGCTGGCAACAGGGCAGAGTACCGCTGGTCTCTGCCCACGCAGCAACCCACCAAGTCAGCGTACCCGTACCCAGCACAGCCGTGGTGAGACACCTGGACATGGACAAGCTTCTCCTCTACCCAGGTGTAGTAACC